GTTACGAGTGGGTTTCTTTCTGATAATCGCGCAAAAATACACATGGGCTGTCGTACTAATTGGAACTGACACATTATAGGTGTCAGCAGCACCTAACGTCAACCCTTGAGCTACTCTAATCAAATAATGCGACATGATCGCCACTCTCTTAATGCACCCTCAGCCCCAAAGTGCGGAAGTGAGTTCGTGGCAAGGCAACGCGAACCATTCACTTTCGGATTCACAGGCCGGTATGCTGACCACTAGGTCAAATCCGGCTCTTCATGTGTAGGAATTAAAGATTAAGTTTGAAAACTAGAACGATTATCTAATCAAAATGCTTGGAATTATTGTTATGCTATATAAACATTGAACTACAAAACTATATTAAAAAACCTGGTTAATTTGCATAAGAGGTAGAAAGGTTTTTAATATGCATTCTGTTTAAACGACAAATTGTGTATTCACACGATTAATGTGTTTAGAATTTTATCAAAAACGTTCTTCTAATATGCTAAGTTTTCTGTGATTTGGGGATCTCCACAGGTTCTGTGGCTTGACGTTCTAACTTGAAGATTAATTTGTAATAGATTGGGTTGTTAAAAGATGGTAACCTGCTAACAAATACAGGAAATTCAGATATGAGAGAGAGAGAGAGAGTACTTGCTTTACGATGACTAGGCTCGTTCCCAGAACACGCAAAAGTTGGATTATCATCCTAGTGATAGGTTTATCTTGATCTTTTATGACACGAAAGAATAAAATAATAATAATGGGAAAACAAACAAAATAGGTTTTGTTAATTGTTGTCGTTTGCAATTGATTTTGTCGTACAATGAAAAAATATTGTTACATTAAAAGTCTAGCAAGATATTGCTATCAATCTCTTAAAACAATATTCACCGGCGAAAATTGCCAATGGTTTTATTATTGATTAAACATATTCCCTTCTTCAACTTAGTATAGTTTAAACGTTGAGATATTCAACCAACCACATCACGTTTTGAAAAGTAGAATTTTTTAAAGCCAATAAGACAAATTTTTCATTTTATGGGTTGGAAAGCTGAACAACCTTGCTACCTATAAGGAATATTGTAATGCCGATGTTATTACAGTAAACAGATGTTATGGGCTTTCTTATAGATACAGTCCCGTATGTGTAACTATATCTTTGTTGGATGTCTGATTAAAAAAAAACAATTTCAGGTATTGATTTTATGTTTTTTTACTACGACTTGTCTGACCGTTGGAAGTAAGGTATTTTCGTTTGTTTTTCTTTTGTATACTGAACAGTTTTTCTTTTTGGAATTACAATAATAATTTTATTTAAAAACCTGTGAATCTATTTATTTTACAATTCCCACAAGAGGTATTTTGTTATGAATAACAAAAAGTAGACGTGAACTGGTGCTTTGTTAATTCCGCATTATAGATATAGTCCAGTTGCATCTTGGGTAACGTTCCTAATATCTTGGTAATTGGTGTGTATTTTTATCCATTAAAGTATAAATCATGTTATTAAATCGTCATTTTACTTCTTTAATTTGAAATTTGTTTCAAAATCTTACATTCTTTGTGGAGGAAATTTAGCTTTGAGCCTTTATAAACAGCGTTGAAAATGCATGAAGAGTTTTCTTTATCGATTGGTTTCACCTTTTTTATTATTATTACCAAGAGCGTCTTTGTCTCCGGTTATTTCCTTGTTCGATTATAAAAGCATACATGTCGGTGTTTTTGCTGTCGCTCAATGGGCGTCCACGAAGAGCTGCTTAGAAGGAGTGAGTGGGTTTATAACCTAGAGAAGCGCAGAGTGAGTAGACCAACGCAGTGACGTGTGTGCCGTCCATATGTTTCCTCCCCTTCCCTTATTATTTCGTTCGTGACATTGCCGCCATGCCATTCCGCAACGTTCTTTGTTCCGTGCTGATAAAGCTAACCGTTACACTTACAGTTGTTTGAACTGGAAATATAGTAACGTTGGAACTGTTTATTGATAGACGCAACAGTACCGGACGCGCAATTACAAAAACTTGTACTTTGAAGAAATATTGATCGCTAGAATTAAGGCTAGGCCTACCGTTACTCTTGTAACATCCTGCGTTATTTTATTACTGTATCATCCACGTTGAATGGCTTCATAGACCTGGAGAACATACTTTATAATGGTGAGTTACGCTCAGTTAGTGTCGGAGTTTCCTACCGAACCAAACTTATTAGGAAACCTTACTAGAGTAGAATAACTTAGTTGTTTGTTAAAGTATTAGTTTGTATCACTTAGTGTTTCGAAGAGACTGATGGTAAGTATGACAACACATGTAGATCCTGTGTTTTTTTTATAGCCCCATACGTTGTTTTAAGAGTCGTGTGTTACTACTAATATTTTATTTTTAAAAACCAAAAGTTGGCCTGTAAAGTAAGTTTATTGTGTGCTTACTTTTGTGTTAATTATTCCTGTTAGTTATTGTCTAGTTTTTTCAATACTTCTGTTGTGATGCAAGAAGAAATTTGTTCCTAAAATTAAAAGTACAAAGCTTCTAGACTTATCACTAAAAGCTGAAACAAGGGTAAAAACAAAATAAAGCACCATATTAGTATTTGATCAGTTTGAAACAGTTTCATTTGAGTTTACTTGCCGATTATAAATATTATTTTATTACAAGATGTGTAAAAGCTATAACTTGTAATAAAATAAGTTTTAACCAATAGTTTCCGTGTCTTGAATCCATTTTTAGTGTTTCAACATTGTAAGATTGTTAATTTTTTCATCCAGTATAGAATGTCTGTAAAAGTGTAATAATGGTGGTATGTGTATTGTCTAAATTAATGTTTGAATGAATTGACTTCACGAGCGTGTGAAACATTTTGTATTTTGAGGTAGGGATGTCATGTATCATTGTTAATTTAAACGATAAACTTTAGTGTTTATAGTCCCAGCGCCTAGTAATGTTTCATTGTTCAGGCAATGTTTCATGTCTAATAAAAGTAACAATAAAATTATGGGCTCAATCCATGAGGTAGGTTAGCGCAGAGAGCCCATTGCCTAGCTTTGCATCAAAACAAATAATCCAAGCCAGTACTAGAAGTCTTAAGCCTGAGCTGATTGGGAATGTTTTTAATACTTTACGTGGTAATTAAGACTAGGGTGATATTTGGAAATAATATTTCTTCTGCTAACATATACAATTAAATTTGACAAGATGTAGATTTTTTAATCTCGGTAAAAGCTTATTTCAGTTAATTGTGACCTTAATTCAACAATTTAATTACTGACAATGTTAGATGAAACTTTTAGCTAGTGGCATTTAGAGCTATTGTTGAGGCAAATGACCCGATTATGTTATTATTTATATTATTTTTATTGTGAAAAAGGTACATACATGCAAGCTATTAGAATATTGATGAAGTAATGCTCCATGAATAAGATTTTATGCGTACTTTATATATATAACTTAAAACTGTAAATGTCATTCCATTTAAACGTTTTGTGTTCTCTTATATGGGGGAAGAAAAATTACAATTATTTAGTATATGCTAAATTCTGCAGTGTACGAATTCATTTTGTGAAAATACACATATTGTGAGGCTTGAATACACAGCTACCTGTAAGCTTAAGCAGAAAATGTGAAAATTGAACATATGACACGTGTTAAAAGATGTATCCTTTTTGAAATTTCAAGATCATCATTTTCCTAGTTTAGAAAGGTGTAAGTAAAAAGGCTATATTGAAGTGTAAAAACCATGAAATAACTGTGTAAGTACGAAAATATCAAACTTATTAAGGTTGTAGTATCAGAACTATCATTATTTTTGTACCCAAACAGAAAAATTCTAAAATTTGCTTCTCCTCGCTACTAGTTACACGTGTATGTGTGCAGCTTGAGTCTGTGTGTTTGTATATAAACGTGAAATATTTATATACTGTGTGTGTATGTATTTTTGTAACCTATTATGCGTAAATTGTTTTTTCTTCAATCACGTTTCAAATGTTAACAACTACATATTGCAAACTTCAAATTTTTGAGTAATTTATTTTCACAAGTATACTATTTAAAAAGTAAATGCAAGCAAAAACTTAAAAAAAACACAACGTAAAATATGGGTAACTACTCAATCCTGCACAGTTAATTATTTTTGTTTGTTCTGATAAACTTAGGAATATTTAATCTAAGTTTTTTTCATAACTTCAAGTTTACTGTACTCTGTTCGTAAAAATACATGTACTACGGTATTGCCTTTGTTGCTGTTTCAGAACGAATAAAGTAGGCCTAATGATTGGTAGAAGTAGCATAAAAAAGTGCTTTTAATTGTAGTAAATTACTTCTTACATTTTCATAATTTTAAGGTATTGTAAAATGTTTTAGTATTCTGAGTATGTTCATTCCAAGTTAATTTTTGTTTGTGTATTTGGTACCAAGTCAGTTTTTCATTTTGGTATATTTCAGACCAAGTAGATGAAGGTGATGCTGTGATATAAGGGAATTTTCCATCAAAGTTTATTTTATTTATATTATTTGTATAAAAAATGTTTGTTGTTGTTGTTTAGTAAATTAATATATCATAAAGAATGAAAAATAATATATATACCATTCTCCATTTTTCTCATATTTTTTATATATGTTTTTATTGTTAAGCTGTTGTCAAAGAAAATGTTTTACACGTGCTTTTAATATTAAAAAAAACAGTATGTTATTGAAAAATTTATAAATTAAAAAGCTGTGTTTTATTGAAAACTGAGAAGTTCCATACTGAAACTTGGATATTGAAGTTAAACAAATTAATACTGGTGAGATCTGGTCAATTTTAGAAATATAAAAGTGAGGGGAGGAATTTTATGACCTGAGGTCAGTTGATTTAACAGTTACTGTAATGATAGTTATCTGTTTGTAAAGATTTCTTGGAGCCTGATGAGAAAGTGTTGGAAAAGTTGCATCATGACATGCATGAAAGGAATTATGCCATTATTCAATTTATTGATTTAACATTTGAGTTTATTCTTGTCTTTATTGCTTTTTTATCTCTAGAACAGCCACTTGATGTGTTTCAGAAATGGATTTTGACCATAAAGTAGCTTGTTCCTGACACTTGGTTAACAAAGTCTACCTTGTCTAGTACTTGAAGGTCATCTTCCTTTTTTGTGTGAGGTAATTAATAAGCTCTATTCTTAGTAATAACATAAATTGTCTGTCTATAGGTAATGATAAATGTTTATGAAATTTTAAGATTAATTAACTTAAGGTAGTAGGAGATAATTTTATTTTTGTATCTATCAATTAATTTTTTTTCCAATAATTATAACTGCCTGAAAGAAAAATGTTTTGATATTTTAGTAATCTTATGAAACAAGAATATTAAAAAAAAGTCTTTTCTGATCAGTTTACAACTGTTTCAAATAATTGTACATATCATCAGCTTATCACATATATTTTCAGTAAAAACCTAAAACATTATAAAACTTTGTCCTCCATCAAATTCTGTTCATTTTCTAGAAATCATTTAGTATAGTGTGAAAACAATAGTTTTGTGTCCAATTTTCTATTACAGCTCTATAAACAAAAGTGTATTTTTAACAAAATGATTTGAAATGTTATAAAAAATTTTCTTCTAAAGTATTTTAAATGAACAAACCAGTTTATGGCTTGATATTTTTTCAATTATTATTTACTATAACTTTCAGTTTGTTTTTATTATCCGTTTACTTAATTTCCCATCTTTAGCACCAAAGATTTTCTAGTTGTCACAAATATTATGTTTGCTTGGACATCAGAGTTAAAGAAATTACTTTTGTTACTGCAACCAATTTTCAACATTGCTGTTAAATATCTGATAATATTTTGAAGAAGTGATGTAATATAGGCTTTTTTTGGTCAGCATAAACAACCAACAAAATGTGAAGGTTAAACCTAATTTTTCCAACTTAGAAACGTTTATTTCTTGCTAGGACATTTTGTGAGTAAATTTATATAACTTTCTGTGGAGTGGAAACTTGTTTAAACTATATACTCTAGCTTTAACTTACACAGGTAAACCTTGAAGTGTTCTGATTATATTAATACCTAGTAACCTTCTGTACTTGTTAATATGAAATTGGTATTCTTCACTAGATAAGAGAATATTCAAGCTATAAAATATTTTAAAATAATATATGAACAAACATGATCACATATGTAGAAACTATTTCTTAAGTCATTCCAAAGAATAAAACACAGGTTTCCATTGTTGATCAACTTTTTCAGGTAGTCAGTACCCTCAATTTTGATCTTTTTTTTGTTTTTCCCTGCAGTCTGTATACTGTGCTGATTAGTTGTGCCACATAGACTGTATAATCACTGTTGATAACTGATCTCATTATTTAGTTTATGTACTTGATGTTCACTTTGATGTAATCTGTATGTTCAGTTTACTAGGGTACAATGTGAGAGAAATGATACAAAAAGTAGGAATTTTACTTATTTTCATCAGTAGTGCATAACTGTCTAGGTATATTATTTGAAATATCATAGTCTGCAGAGTTCATTTATTCAAACGAGTTTTAAAAGGGTTTTATTGTATTTAGTATATAGCTTCTAAGGTATAGGATTCTGTGGTAATTAAAATAATTTGGTTATATTGGTTGATTAACAATATAGATTTTCTTACTTTGCAGGGAATTGTCTAAAGTGGCAGTTTTTCATTTTCCTTTGAACTGAGGTCAACAGAAGCTGCAACCATTGATTTGCAACTTGGAATCTCACCCCAGGGTGGGTCACTTGCCAACGCCTGGTCACCACACACAGATAAAAAAAAACTCTTAAGAGGCCAAGAATGGATAATTCTCTGAGTTAGTAATTGGATTTATCTTTTATACTCTTATCCATAGCACCAATGAAAAGAAAGTGTGTGTTACATAGGTGTAAAACTAAAAATAGTTTTTGTAAGGCTTACAATGAATTTGTAATATGAAGTTAAACCTAAAAAAAATTTTTTTTCTACTTAAATGTATTAAGATTCACAACTGAAGGAAAGGTGTAAAATATTATCATTCTTTTTTTTCTAGTTGGTGCACGTGGTCCAATAGCAAATGGTCCCCTGCACACTAGACCCCTGGTGGCACTTCTGGATGGCCGAGACTGCTCTGTTGAGATGCCTATCCTTAAGGATGTAGCAACAGTTGCATTTTGTGATGCTCAGTCTACTCAAGAGATCCATGAAAAGGTTAGCAAAACCTTTTATAACAAGGAGATTTTTCCACTAGTTTTAATTAAAGCAAGACACCCATGACTTTGTATGTAGGTATAGTAATAACATCCCGCTGATGCAAGTTTCCCTATTTTACAAAGTTCAAAGACCAGAAGTCACAAAAGCAAGACTATTTGTTATGCATCTAGTACCATAATTAATTTCAGTAGTAGTAGTTTCGTATGGTGTTTCTCATATCTCCAAATTCTGCTGGAGATGAGTATCCAGGAGTTGGACTGGCGTCCTAGTCCGGGTGAGCATGTTTTGGTGTGACAGGGATTCGAACCCGTGACCCTCAGATTGCGAGTCAAGCGCCTTAACCACCCGGCCATGCCGGGTTAGCAATAATTTCAGTATATATCTCTCAATAACTCTTGAATATACCAACAGTAGGATTTCGTCACAAATACTGGAGTTGTTGGGAGTAGTCTTGGAAATTGTTCTTCAGTATGTTGACACATGCGTGGCCTCGAAGCCAAGTGCAATGAGGCTTGTATTATCACTAAGTTGTTGAAACGTAACTCCTCTAATGCATGTGTATTTTTTGAAAAGATAGTTATTATGTTGTGGATATTTTAGAATAAACAACAAATATTTAATATTTTGTCATTTGATTTTTTCACTCCTGATTGTTGAACCTTTTTTTTTTATTAGGCTACTTAAAGGTAACTATCAAATATTTGTGTATATATACAGTTGTCGTGGAGATGTAATTTCTATAAGTGGTATCAAAAACCAAAGCATTCAAATACACTCAGGTTAAGCTAACTAAATGATAGCAGCATGTGTCTCTTTTGACATAAAATTATTCATGAAAGGCCATTGCTAAAAACCTAGATAACAGAAATGGGGGGAAAATATTTTAATATTTTCTTTGAATATGATGGTTTCATAATAAATTTTATTAAAGATTTGCTTTATTTCATTCAATGATGTATTTTACTTTCATTAGAAGGTCCAGGAATTTGTACCTGTACTGAATATGTAGTATTTCAGCAAATAAAATGTATTTATAAATTACTTCAGGAAGAAGAGTTATTTATACATGCAGCTTGTAATAAAGAGGAATCCCCTTAAAATTATTACTATTGTGTTTGGTTTTAGTTAACCATATTGAGTAAATTTATGTTTTTCTCTCTTTCAACATTCATTGTAAAGAACTGGCCAAAATCATTTGTGAAATATCTCGGTTTTTGTGTAGAATACAGAGGGGTCCTCAGCAATTGTTAGTGCGGTTAATTGGAGTGTTGATTATATTTTTGTTGTACATTTCCTTATGGGGATTAAATATTACTACAGGTCTTTTGATCCACAAATAGATTGAGGGCATTAGAAAAATTGTTTTAAAAAAGGTGATGATGCCCTCCTCCCCCATTGGTAAATTGAGGGTTAATAATAATAAAGGGAAAAAAAAATGTCAGAATATATATTTTGAAATAAAATTTAGATGTGGAAATCAGTTGGTTAATTACTGAATTACCTTTTCTATGAAATATATGTTAACATTAATTTTACAAATGCAACAAAATTAATATTAAAAGTTGTGTAAGAGGTCTAACTTACAGTAAAGAATATTAAAATAGTAGAAAAATATAAAACAAGACTACAGTGGATTATTTTTGGTGGGAACAAATTATTCCTATCTCTATAATGCTTATTGATTGTCTAAGACCCAAGATACTAATACTGGTGACTACAATGTAATTACTTTCAATACACCAACTAACAACTACATACAACCATACCAGTAAAAATTCTAATTAAAATTGGTCTCAGTGAATGATGTTTAACTTAACTGTGGACCAGTTTTTTTTTCCTTTATAGTGATATTAACTTATTTGTTTAAAGATGTATATAGAAGCAATAAGATTCAACTTTCATGTTCTAATACGTTGGAACTTATGTGAAATACTTATATAAGGGGAAAAAAAAACTAGCTGAAAGAATGACAGGTAATGTTATAAAACAGAAAATTAATTCCATTTGTTGTAATACACATAATCATAATCAATCCTTTTTCTTAATTTGACTTTTTTTTAAAAAATGGGTCTTGAGTTGTGGTTCAACAAAAGTAATGTTTTATTGTTACGAACAGTTTGCGAGTTAAGCTATAAACAGACTTAATTTCTGATTTATAAAGGTTCTAAATGAGGCAGTTGGAGCCCTCATGTGGCATACCATTACACTTGCTAAAGACGATCTGGAAAAATTCAAAGCCCTCCGCATTATAGTTCGGATTGGTTCTGGAGTAGACAACATTGACATCAAAGCAGCTGGAGAACTTGGTAAGTGTTTTATTCATGTAGGCTAAATTGGTCATGGAGTAGGCATTATTAACATCAAGACAGCTAGAGAACTGGGTAAGTGGTTTTTTTTCATGTAGCTCAGATTGGTTATGGAGTAGGCATTATTAACATCAAGACAGCTAGAGAACTGGGTAAGTGGTTTTTTTTCATGTAGCTCAGATTGGTTATGGAGTAGAAATTAACATCAAGACAGCTAGAGAATTGGGTAAGTGGTTTTTTTTTCATGTAGCCCAGATTGGTTATGGAGTAGAAATTAACATCAAGACAGCTAGAGAACTGGGTAAGTTAAGGTATTTCTTCTATCTCATATTGGTTCTAAATTAGGGAGTGTAATTCTTGTAGGTAAAGATGTTTTTCAACATTATTTTTTCTTTTATAATCTTGTTTTTGAAATTGTTAAAAGTTGAAGTCATGCTCAAGAAATAAGTGTTGCACATAGTTTTCTGTGTGAAGATATAACAATTTCATGATATAGGATTCTCAATCATTGACCTAACTTCTATGATAAAGGTTAATTTACACTAAAGTGTATTATTCATTTGGTCTGGTAAAAGGTTTTAGTTAGTGTTAGTGCTGTATGTTCCAAAAACCAAAGGAAAATGCGAGTGTTAGATCTAGTTGGAAACTTGAGCAAGTCTTGTTCATTTGGCGAAAGAGGAGTATTTAGCTCAATGTTTAAATTAAATTTAAAAATGGGGTTGGAGATGTCATGCTTTTAGCTATAATTAGATAAGAGCCTTATGATTAAGTAGTTTTTGCTGAAATCCATTAAATGAAATAAGAAAAAAGTTGAGATTACTGTTTAAATTCTAATTTTTATATTAAACCTTAACATGCTTTGTCCAGGTATAGCAGTATGCAATGTTTCAGGATAACTGTCTTTGACTGTAACTTCAAGGTAATTAATCCTGTGACATTCATACCAACCTTTTGAAGTTAACAGAATGAACTATGAACTTTAATGCTTTGTCCAGGTATAGCAGTATGCAATGTTCCAGGATATGGTGTGGAAGAAGTTGCCGACACTACCTTGTGTCTCATATTAAACCTCTACAGGCGAACTTATTGGCTGGCCAACATGGTGAGAGAAGGGAAGAGATTTCAGGGTCCAGAACAGGTTCGAGAGGCTGCCCAAGGTTGTGCACGAATAAGGGGAGACACACTGGGTATTGTGGGATTAGGTAATAAAAGTAATTTAAATGAAATCTTTCAATCTGCAGATATTTGAATTAAACATCATAACACTGATAATGCTGTGTAGTGTTTAATAAGAACATTGTTTTGTATTGATGTTATAACTAATTACTAGTATAGCCTCAAGACGCTTCTGAATTTTTTAACTGCCTTTGACTGTAACTGCAAGGTAATTAATCCTGTGATACTCATACCAGCCTTTTGAAGTTAACAGAATGAACTATGAACTTTAATTTATGTTTCATTATGATAATGATTACGGTGTATTTTAGTCAAAACCAATAAACCTTTTCTTGTAAACTCGCAGGTCGGGTTGGAACAGCAGTAGCTTTAAGAGCCAAAGTGTTTGGTTTCAACGTGACCTTTTATGATCCCTACCTTCCTGATGGAATAGAACGCTCCTACGGTTTAAATCGAGTCTACACTTTGCAAGACTTACTGTTTCAAACCGATTGTGTGTCCCTGCACTGTACCCTTAATGAACACAATCATCACCTGATAAACGAGTACACCATTAAACAGATGAGGCCAGGCAAGCTTGACTTGATGTTGTAGTACAGTTGTACTGGTTATAGTTAATTGTAATCTTTTATATAGCTGAAATTACTGACAAAGTAGCTGCAAAACACAATAGTTTAAGAAAAAAAGCTTCTTAACTTATAATTTTTTTAATGGCAATAAAAACATTTTTGTGAAGAAAAAAAACCCTTTCTCATTGGAAAAGTGAAGCTAAACTGTTAAAGCATTTTGATAACGTTAACAAATATCAGAACCAGTTGTTATACTAATAGACACGTGTGTCAACAAAGGCAGATAATGAGCTCAATTAACTTGCTTGGATTGTTTTATAGGTGCCTTTCTGGTTAATACAGCAAGGGGAGGACTTGTGGATGAAGCTGCTCTAGCCTCTGCATTAAAAGAAGGGCGAATCCGAGCAGCTGCTTTAGATGTTCATGAAAATGAACCTTTCAATGCACTTAGTGGTAAGCTTTGTTAAAGTAAATGAAAAGTTTATCTTAATACAGGATTTTTTTTTATAAGTAACATTTTTCCACCCACTTTACATAATGTTTATTGATTATTCACATAGCTAATTTTAATTGATATGATATACGAACTATAGTAATTCATAGGTTTCAGTTTTTTTGTTCATTGACCTCTAGATGAAGGTGAAATTTTATATCTATATACCCAATTTTAATGTAGTCCTGTTTTTAACATTAGGCACCCTAAAGGATGCACCAAACCTTATGTGTACACCCCATGCTGCTTGGTACAGTGATGCAAGCTCCACTGAACTTCGAGAAATGGCAGCTGCTGAAATAAGGAGAGCCATTGTGGGTCGTATTCCAGATTCCTTACGTAACTGTATCAATAAGGGTTACTTTAGCAGTAGCGGGTTCGGCGAAACAATCAACGGGGCTGCAACTTACAATTATAATCCCATGGTGATGGCTCATTCAACCACATTAGAGCCCTTATCCACCTCTCCTGCCATCCCTACATCTCATTCAACACCACACTCTACCCTGCAAGATACACCAAATCACCTACCCCCAAAACCTGAGAGCTCGGAGGTTCATTAGTGGTGTCATTCCATGCCACCAGTTTGGATAGTGCAGACAAACATTACCAACTTCCTCCTGGTAGTCCAGAAACCTCTCCAGTGATTTGGCTACAAAAAAGAATTACCCTTTGAAAGCGTGTGTATATTTGTGTGATCCAGATCATGGTCTTTGTTGTAACAGTGGACTTGAGTCAGTTTACTCAGTTATTAGGGATAAGGAATGGATGGCCTGCAATTTTCTACACTAAACAAAAGTGCTTCTCTTTTATAAGCCCTGCCGCCTAGCACACAGAAAGAGCTTACTCAAAGAAAGCCACGACGTCCCATGTCTCCATAACATTTGACTTTTGTGAAGGTAGATCTTGGATTTGTAACATGACACGTGCTGGCCACAATCGATGATCTTATGCAGTTCTCTTTAACTTCCTATTATTATAGAGCCAGAGATATATTGTGATGGAACAACATCTATTGTATATTTCATGTCAGTATGAGTCGGAATATTTTTTCTCTGTGTGTGTGTGTTGGGTAGAAAATGGTTAGTCTAACTAAAGCTAATTAAAGTTTCTGTTGCGTTGCATTTTTTTCTCATCTTTCAATATACATTAGGACATCTTGAATAACTTTAAGATAGAAGAGATTCTTTATACATCTGTTTTTCAGTTATTACGTTCTTGTGCTAGAGTTCAACCTCACACTAACTTTTTGAGGTATAGTTTCTGTAACAGTGTAATACAATTTTGGAAGCACTGTATAAGCAAAAATCAAGGTAGTCCTGGATTCTCTCTTGAGCAAGGGTTTAATGGTGTTGATGATACAGTTTGACGTTAGGAATATTTCATATTAGATTTACCACTACTTATGTTTCATTAGTACTTTTATCGAGAAATGATGGTATAGTTCTAAAAAGACAAATCTATCGGTATAATGACTAACAAATTGATTTAATATCTTGATTACCGTAACAAGTGTTTACATTAAATGTTTATTTATCTACTTGTTAAAGTTATTTTAATGTAGAAACATGAGCAGTAGTAGATCAACCTACATTGAAGAAGAAATGCAGGATACCAAAATAATGTTACATTAAACGTATTAGAATTTTTACTACTATTATACTCGTATCTGTAGACACCTCTTGGTTTACTAGAGAATCTACCCTTGACAATTGCTATTAAATATAACTTTTGGACACAAAGAAAATTACATACTTAAAATATGTAGATATAAAGTGTATATACAACATGTGTATGTTTAACATTCACAACTATAAAGTAAAAGATTTTAAAAATCTTGTGTTTAAGGCTATAATAGATATAAACAATTGTACACAAATTTTGATCAATGCTAGATACTAAAGAGTGAAGTTTAATTATAAAAATGGTACAGTGTAGTTGATATCCTCCAAGTATTGGTTTTCATTTTAAACTAACACTTTACAAATTTGATTATTTAGGTTAAAGTACAATCAAAGATTTATCCTGTCTTATTAAGTTTACTTCCTAAAACTAGAAACTAATTGTTTTAAAATCAATTCAGAACCATTATTAATTACATTTATGTTGTTTAATGGTGACTGTAAAGTGGTTCTTATAATAGAAATAGTAGTTATCTCTCTTTCCCTGGGTCATGGTTATTTATACATTAATGCTCTCTGTCCAAGTGTTCTACACTGAAACTATATTTCCTCATATTATATAGTTAAAGGCTGTATATTAATTATCTCTGCCACTGTTATTAACTGATAATTCCCTAATTGTAAGTACTCCAAGTTACAATACAGACCTATTTTTAAAGAGTTGGGAACACACACAACTGTTTTTTTCTTTTTAAACAATGAAGAGCACTTATCCCAATTCAATGTTAAGTTGCTAAAAATGAACTTAGTAACAACAAACATTAAGAGGGAATGAAAAAAAAGTCAATTCAAAATTGATTTCTGCTTTCTGTTATAAGTCCCAGATATTGTGATAGCATCATTCCATTTTAGTTAACTGAAACTATATAAATTGAATGAAGCCTTCATGTAAACCATGTGTTTGATTGTTGAGTAACTGTCCAGTATCTCTCAAATTTAATATCTGCTTTCCATTGATAAGTTTAGTGTTTTTTTGTTTTCTCTAATGTGGCCACAGAATGGCATCCTGTGTAAAATGTTTCTTTTTGTGGAAAGCTTTTGTTGTGTCAATAAATTGTTTATTTAGGTGAAAAATGTTAGTAATGATTGGCTCTGTATGGTATACTTTATCCTTTACATGTGATAATTAATACATTTGATGGAGGTGGGTAATAAAAGTTAGCACTTTTACTTTCCTGACTCTATAATTTGTTTTTATATTATTGAGTAAATACACACACACAATCTTTCCTTGAATGTTATTGTGAAATGACATTAAACCTCTGTGTTGAAATGCAGCAGACACATTTTTAATATTTTTAGGTAAGTTTACATAATCCTACTGGAGCATTACTTAAGAACACCATAAAACTGATGCTCTTAACATTTGAAGCCTGTATCATACTAGACAATCATGTTTATGTTTCAAAGGAAAATTAACTTCAGTCTCAGTAACCAGCTGCATTTCAGAAGTTTGTATAACATTGTTTCTTCATCTTGGTCCACAGTCGTGCTTATCTGGTGTCTTGTTCCTAAAATTTCAAAATCATGATCACACACCAAAGAAATCTGAAAAGTACAGATCCTGTAAATGATAAAATCAGTTGAGCATATTTTAGGGTGGATTGTAAAATAAACTTGTTACAGGTGTTTCTGGCTATTTATTATACAAGCCTCTTCCACAAATATTAAAAGGATTCTGAAATACTTTACTGATTATATTATCAAATGAAATAGAATTATTCCCAAAACACAAGGTACAAATTAAAATCAATATATATTTTAATACCTTAAACATTTTTTTGTAGCAACTTAGTTAGGTTTAATATAAAAACTTGAGCTTACTTCTCCATTTTGTGGTTCATTTTCCTCATTATTCCTTATCTTCATCAAAACAGAAACATACGGAGAAGGTGAAGGTTTTTCTTCTGGAGGTCCCTGTTCCCGAATATCGTAAGTGTGTAACACTAGGGTTTCCAACCAGCTCAACATACTACATACAAAAATAGTGGTATTTTTAATGATCATACAAAGAACTTAGTAACAACATTTTCCAATTAGCTCAGCATACTCTTATAGTAATTAATGTCTCGAACCTCATAAAACTCCCAAAGACATTGGTTCAGTTTCACTTCCCTTGATTGATTGACCCCATAATGGAGACAACTTTTAGTACACAAAAATTCACTTGTGTTCTAAAGATATGTTGGTGAAATGATGAAGTCAGTCCGACGCTGACAAATCAATCTACACAGTGATGTTCATGTGAAAAATAAAAATAGTTTTGTTCATTGTACAGTTTGCACAATCTCTACATCCTCCTAAATGTGTATCTAAAGTTTTTTCTCTAACACAAACTTGTAAAATCGGCAATGTAGGGTAACATTAAATGTTGATAATACTATGACCCCACCAATGCACATAAGGTTAACTCCTGACTTGAGAAACTTTAAACATCAAATTTATAAACTCATCTCTATGAGATAAACTTAAAAATAATGTCTCCAGTACATGAGAAGATACTTTTTTAAACCTATTATAGAATTTCAGTGTTTCAGAGGAAAGTACGAAGTATTAAGAATATTGAAAGGTTACCTTTTCTCAGTTTTCTCTGTCTCTATAATTGTTGGATAGATGAAATCTTCTTTAAACTTCTGAATAACTGGCTGTTAAAAATGAAAAAAAATAAATCAGTATTCATCTATTCATTCTTCAGATGAGAATGTAGTAGGCAAAGTTTTGTATTCTCAAACCCAAAGAATAATCTACTTGATACAAAATTGATGAATACCTGTTTACTAAAAACAAATTAAATAAAAATATGTAAAGAACATTTTTTGAAATCTAAAACGTACCTTTATACCAAACACAAATATGTGTGTTTAGGCTAACGACTTTTATTGGATACTATTTAAAAAACTATTATTATCTGGAGCACCTAAAATAATAAATATCTCTAGTTACCATTGCAACTAGAAAATAATCAAACAATTTTATACCAAACATTCACTTTTGAAAAGATCCTGTTGTTTATTGTTTTAGTCCTAACAACTACTTTAGTTACCACTGCAACTAGAAAATAATCAAACAATTTTATACCAAACATTCACTTTTGAAAAGATCCTGTTGTTTATTGTTTTAGTCCTAACAACTACTTTAAAAGTATTATGGTGTGCAGTTCCTTGTTAAACCTCTAGCAATGAAATATAATTATTCACAAAACACAGGGTGCAGCTAGAAATTGTACAAATTAAAATCAATTGAGTAAAATATTTTAATACCTTATATATTTTTTGTAGCAACTTAGTTAAGTTGAATATAAATAAGATACTACTTTATAATTTATTAAATTTTTAAATGAGTTTCTTATGGTAACGATTTTAATTATAAAGATTTTCTCTTACTTGGTATTCTTCCCACGATAGAGCCTCATGAATTCCATCACCCCCATACTTTTTGTTGTACTTATCGTAATGAATCTCCTCCAGCATTAACCCTAAAGCAGGAGCTATAGGAATGTCAATCTTTTAGAAAATAAAAAAAAAGGGTTAGAAAAACAACTAAAAAAATTATGGCTATGATAAAATAAAATCTTGTATAATCTTAATATTTAATTTCTTAACTAATTTTTGTAACATAATTAATGTAATAGTTATTCTCTTTTAAGGTATTTTCCCTTAACTAAAAATGTCAAAGTCCTAAACTTACTGTCATGAAATTTTCTGGGTTTAATGCAACAGTTTACCTTTTTATTTAAGTAGGTAACATTATTTCTTAAAATAATTAATACTAAATATCTACATTCGCTCTGTTTGTGTAAGTAATAATACATCTCATCAACACTGGCAATAGTACAGCTCTAATTTTATCTACAAAGGGCTGGTTGAACCATAGCTAAAGGTAATTCCTTTATCATTTGACTATTATTTACAAGTAATAAAACGTTTGAAAAAATAAGGATGGCAAAACTGAAAAGTACAAAACAATTTAGGGATGAATACACAAAACCATACAATGCTGAATTCCTTTCATTTGCATGAATTAAGGTTTGAATTTAGTATTTACGTAGGGATTTTTGTATTCATTCCTACCTTGTTTCTGTACTTTTTGGCATTGCCATCCCTAAATCATTTTTTTTTTACTTGTTTCCCCTCTTTTTTCAAACAATACCAGTGAATATTTTATAACTAAAGACAGTCATTATGAAGGCAGCAGTTTTAGCCTGGAATGATGAGTTGTCTTGAAGGACATCATGTGTTGAAGTTATTGAAATGCTATACTGAATCAGAATAATCAACAGAACATTTGGTGGTTACACTAGTTGTTGACTTTATCAATGTTTTTTTACTTAACTGAACATCTTAATACCTTTTGAAAACCTAATTTAGTCTCTTAGATTGTTTTAAGAGATATTTGAGATTATGATAAGCACTAAATAATGTGTCGGCCATTTCTTTCCTATCCTGTCCCTACATACTAAACACCAGCGTGCTTAGTGACAGGTTTAGCTAATGGTAAATCATTCATTATTAAACTACATTTATCATTATGATTCAGATTCATTCTTTAACAAGTCTTTACTACCTAATCTTACATTATTAAACTATTAGATGTATCCCGTTATTCTTCGCGTCTTTTATAACAGAAAAAGATATTAAAGTGATGTATCCCGTTAGTCTTCGCGTAAAAATAAGTTATAAAAATATTTTCGAAAAAAGTTCATTCGCGTGAAAAATCTTTACAACTTATTAGAAATACTGGCAACTTACCCTTTCCTAACACGGAAACATGCTATATACAGTGTGCTTGTTGTTGTTATCAAGCACAAAGCTAAACAATGGGCTATCTGTGCTCTGCCCACCACGGGTCTC